CCGCATTCTATCTTTCCGGAAATCCAGTTAATCCGAAAATCGCTCTAAATTATTTTCAAATTACTTTGTCGTTATTGTTGTTGTTGTCGAACTAATACTGACTAATATGAGCAGCTTACACGGACGTTAATATATAGCAATGCTAAAACAGGATCATCCATATCCTGAGTAATTATTTATGAATCAAAATCAATGAATCCTTACAATAATAGCTCTCGCATATAATTTATTAATAATTATAATTAATAATTTATTATTATTAACCGAGTCGTTTTTAATAATATATTAAATTTAATAAATGAAATAAAAGCGCGAAGTCTCATGAAAGTTGCAAATCCAAATGACCGAGCGAATCAGCGGGCGGCCACCAATCTGCGACAAAGTGCGCGGCGAAAGAGCACAGGACGTCGCGTCAATTTTTATGTATGGAGTCAAACGAAGTGCACGAAGTTAGCGCAGGCGTAAGCAAGCACTATATCCCGGCGACCGTGACGCCTTTCCACAAACTAACTATCACCACTTGTGATAACTTTGCGCGAACTGTGGGACGGGACGGGACAAGAGGGAGGGAGGTGCGGGTAATCCGATAAGATGTTCCTGGCGGACGTGCTCCGGTCCTCCCATGTCGAGTCTTCGCTATCTCTTCAACGTCTCTGGCTCAAACATTCTGCTGAAGCGCGAAGCTACCCTGAAGAGAGTACACCGTCGAAGACAACGGCGATGATCGCCGTCCGTCAAGTCTTTCGAACTGTCGCGTCGTCGAATGTCGGTGTCCCCGGAAGCTCGCTCTTGCCCGCGAATTTTTTTTTTTTTTTTTTATAAAAATCCATTATAGCTCTCGAAGCTCGGATAAGAAAACTTAACATGGAAGATCTAGAGACGACAACGACGACGTCTGTTAACCATCCCGACCCACGTCACACGTCGAGAATCCGTCCAAGTTTCCGAGCGCTTTCGAAACTCGTCGTTCGTCAAAATCATCCCTGCCGCTTATCAGGCAACTCTCCGCCCAACTCCTGTCGATCGGCCGGTGAAATCGGGAGATCGGAAAGAATAGCCGCGCGTAAAATGCAAGATGGAAGGCTGTCGCGCTGAGAAACAAGCTGAAAACGCGGCGTGCCTACGCTACACCTAAATGCACTTGAGTCAAATTCCCGAGAAGACTGCGGTAATGGAGTAATTCTGAAATAGGAGAGAATGCTTTTCAGCTACTTCTCTTTAGCTACAGCAGAGTGCTACTATTTTATGATTTTCACGTCTGTGGTGGAGAATTAAAGGATTTCGTTGAATTCGAAATGCAAAAATATATAATAATGCGTGATGAAGAAACACACATAAAAATAATAGAACTTTACTTTTCACTTCAAGCGCGGTGCATAATTATATACAATCGCGAAAAAATACTTTACAAATCAGATAAAGCGACGACTGTAAGATAATTTTCTCGAAGCGCAAGAAAATGGTAGGTGAGATGATCCTTACCGGATAACGCCTCATCGCTGCAGGACAGGGCAAATTCCATGCGATAGGGTATCCTGCAGCCGATGTCCATTCTACGTACACTGTTGTGGTGGCATTGGCTCGGCGGGAATGGCGTGGTAGGTATCCTTATGGCGTTCAGCTCGGCGTTAATAATGTTCTCGCTGTCCACGGTCAATATGTTCTCGATGCTCTCGGCATTCGGCGGACGAAACGATACGATTTCGTAGCGGCCGAGATTGGGGCACTGCCGGATCGGCATCGGATCGGACGCTGAAAAATATTCACATTATTCATTTGTGTTTTATTGTCATCGAATTCTCAAGTATCTAATTCAGAATCAATTTCCAGAAAAAAAAAAAAACCGAAATTGGCGAGATACAAGTAATGCATCCATAAATTTTCATACGATGCAAAGAACAAGCCATTAACTTTTATGCGATTTGTCGGCGACAAGCGACGGAAGATCGTGCTTACATTGCAGTGTAACTTTTAGCCGAGCAATTTGATATGCGATCGACACGCAGTCAACGTGTTCCGCACGCTAAGGTAAACGCGTTTTACTTTGCTCCTGGAGGAAATTAGCGCAACACGATCCGCGTCAAGGGTGAGAGCCCGTTGTTCATCGTGTTCGACATCGGAACTGTTCTCTTGAGGCGATCCATTCAAGAAGTTCGACGTGAAAGAATCATGCTTTTATATTTGCCTCTTTATCGCGGTTTTATATTTGCTACTTCAGCCGCGCGGTCGGGACTAAAAGCCTCGAGAACGAACTACCTGCTTACTTTAACAGCAGTGTTTCTCAATTCGCGACAAGTTTTAAATGTTAAAAAAACTTGTGAGAAAGGCACTCCATTTAAAATTAATCCTGAAACGAAAAGAAGAAATAAAAATGTGTAGAAATTAGTAAAACGAGGGAGCAAAGATAACATTGGCATCGCGGTCTTGTTATGTACTGAAGAGAGTTGGGAAACGCTGCTTTACATGGTATACAATTTTGAACGATTCTCGTTGGTAACGCAAGTAACACGCGCGTGTATCCACACCGAGAGTGGATACGACACACAAAAGAGAAGACGAGTGCGAATGGCGGCGCGATAAATTCTGCGCCAGCGGCGCGGCGAAACGACTCCGCTCTTCGTCAACGTTACTGGAATCAGCTAAGGAGAAACTGAAAGGCAAGCCGACGCGGGAGAGACTTTACGACGGATCCGGCATATGATCCTTTATGTGCTCGTAAAGCTGCACCTTGCGAATTGATTGTTAAACTCCGTCATTTGTAAACTTCTCGCCGCGACTATGCACGCGCTCGCGCTTTTCGCGAGTACATAGGTACTTCCGTCGCAAAGTACATAGTACTGGTTTAAGGTACACCCTTCATGTACAGACTCTTGAGCCGATTTGCGGTAGATTCACCCTTAACAGTAAGATTAAGGCTGAAGTATCAATTATTTGTGAGCTACAACATTGAAAATCTATTTGATTTCACGAAAAGCAAGCTTCAAAAACAAAAATAAATAATTTTATTTCTCGTTTAATTTTAAGCAAAATGTTTGACGAATTTAACATTAGCAACTGTATCTTTCAGAGTGCAAATAAGAGCATCGTAAAAACAAAATTAATCCTTTCGGAACGTTATATAAGAATATGAAATAATCGTTAGCGAACATATCAAATCCATAACTTACAATAGCGTGTATATTGAATAATAATCTTGAATAGAGAGCAGTAAACAACATATGAAAAACGCTGGATCGCTCTCAGGTATTTCTCTGATGTCAGTAATGCCGAAGTAAATATGTTATTGCGTCGAAACAATGGTTCCAGCACGCACGATTTTTGTCGATAAATCGTATGATACGTTTTAATGGTGTATCACGTGGCGCCGATGTAGTATTTTGTATCAAACACAGAAAAGTTTGTTTTTTTTTCCAACGTGTTAGCGGAAAAAATCGTTAACAGAACAGGTGCATAAACATTGTTGGAACGAACTACTCGCCAATCGACAAATTGATTTAAGAATCCACAACATTTTGTGTAAATAAATACATGTGTAAACATGCACGTAGATAATGCATTTGTCAGGATTCGGGGAAACTTTATAAAGGTCGGGACGAATCACGAGCTCGAGTATGTGCATTAGAGTCCGAGAGAGCGTAGTTCATCCCGACGTCGCCAGATCGATGTTCGAAATTGGCTTTAGAAGCTAAACAAGGCGCTCTTTCGTTAGACCGCGAATCACGTTTTATACGAAACTCCGAGTAGAGTATCGTGCGCTCTGTGAGTCAGCAGAGTTTACGAGAACTACGATATATGTTTGCGAGTAATACAATGTATTTTAGTTAATGGCATAATTCCGAATATCAGAAGGCGCGTATAAATGCGCGTGAACGTAAAACTGACGACGCTTTTATATGCAACAAAAATGTGTACACGATAAAAATCAAATAGTTAAAAGAATTTAAGGAACGGTAAAAAGTTCGTGTCGTAGAAAGGTATATCGAGTCCTCGCTCTCCGTTTTATGCGCAAATCTCTTCCTCTCGATTCGCTTATCTCCTGTCGCAGTAACTCGATAAGATCGAGACAAACCAGGGGACGCGGGCAATGAATCGGAAGAAAAACGGAGGGTTCCATCGGGGTCGAATTGGCGCTGAAGTGCCGGGAGGTCGGGACGCGAGCCGACCGGAAATCAACCCTCGCGCGAACCGTTCGTTTTCTGATTCCGGTTTCCGGCCGCAGCGACCGGCACGACCGAATTTCCAGCGCCCCAATCTACTTAATCTTGGCTTGCGGCGAGAAAGAAATGAGCATACTATTTCACGATCGCGTTACACCCTCGCGCGATAATGAATCTCCCGTGAATCGGAAAAGGAACTTTCGCGAGTCTCCGAAATACTTGAACAACGCATATTATTTCGCGTCGGCGAAATTAGGAAGCCGCGAATATTAATCGAGCGGCAATGTAGCTTAATTCGCTTTAGCGAGAGACAACCCTTTGACAACTTCCGAAGAAAGCTGCAAGTTTATTTGCGAGCGGCGCCTTATCGCGATATCGGCAATTTAATTTGCCCGATTAATTACGACTGTAATAGCGACAAAGCAAAAATGCCGGGATGCATTTACGGGAGCGGGTGCGGCGCGCGCGCGCATTTAACTGCGTTAATTGAAACTGTAGTAACAAACATATATAACGCGATCTGTCAACTGAGCACTGTTAAGCCGTAATCAAATTTGCGTATATTACGCCCGCTCGGCA